CTCACTATCCTTCTCAAGATTCTTCTTGAGTTGACGTTGCAGACGCCACCTACCCCTGCCTTGATCCCGGTCGAGTTTGGTAGGATTTTCTGCAACCAGTGAGTTGGAGAGTGAACTGCATCAAAACTAACGCATGATCAGATTCAACGTAGGTGATCCAATAGAACCTGCAGTTTTGTACTGAGCCACGCCAACGGTAGCTTACTGCTGTGACCGATTTGAGTTAGTGTGCCAGTTAAATTGGAGCGCCACTTTGTTGCCCGTTGAGAGCTGTGACGGAAGTTGGTGCTGGATAGTAACAAATGATGATCTGCGCAGAACTGAAGACTTCGATCGCCATTATCTGTTCGCTGGCAGGGCAGAGCACAATGACCGCCTAGGCAAGCTTTCGGTGGGCTCAGTTTTCCGACTTGAGCGTTAAAATCACCTGCGAGAACAACTATAAGGAAATTATTCTATTTGTCCATGGGATTTCCCCCTTTTACTGCATTTCACATTGTGTAATAAAAAACTAATTTCAGCCAAACCGGCAACGAATCAACATGTCTCGCTACTTCAGTGAAAGACGAAGAATCTTTGGAGCAGATTTTTTAGCTGAGGTTCACGTAAGCACCCATCAGATATCGATTTACTTTGATCCGCGGTCCGTTTCGCCCAGTATGCGGTAATAAAGTACAGGGCCATCTACCCACATATGTAGGATATTTCGAAAAACCCGCAAATAAGTTTACTGTTTTGTGTTTCGATTTTCATCTTAAGATTCATCACCTTTGTATATGGTCCGGTTATATTGTTCTATTATTTCAACTATGCTTGGCCATTCTCTGAGCTAAAAAATGATTCGTGTCGGCTTGAATGTGCATCGCCGCTCGTATATTATTGACGCTTCATTCCATTTTGAGTGATCTGAGCTCAGCTCGCCTGAATTCGATATGCTTCAATAGGTTGTCTTTTTACCATTTCGCAGGGTCGTCGGGTTCTCTACGCTTCTGTAGGCGCAGGTCGGAGCTGTGGATTGTTCAGTTTTATGACACATCCTTGGGTGGCTGTCGACTCCAAATCGTTCCTACCCATGACACTCACGGTAATGGACCAGCAAGGTCCGGATGCGCCCCGTTCCGTACTATCCGATGCCATGTCCGTGTTCACGCCATCGGCAAGCTATTTGTCTTCACAAAATCCGAGTACCATTCACGTATCCATACATCTCCCAGGTGCGCTAACGTATTGTATGCCAGTTCTTATATTTGTCATTTTGTATTTATTCAGTGCCTCTCGATTTATCCTGACGCAACGCAATCATATGCAGGAACATAGATCATCCTGTCTTAATTTTAATCCCGAAAAATGCCTTGAATGTATTTTTACTTTAAACCGTCCGTTCCCCATCTCCATCCGGCAACGTACAGTTTCGGAGATAAGAAGATTGCGTCACGTCTGTTCTTATTTTTCGGTGATAGGAGCTTTTCTTCAACAATGTGCTCTCTTTATACTGCATTACTGCTCCCCTGTGATTTTCCCTGGCTTGCTGAAGGCCGATTTCAAGCAGTTGAGGCGTGATCTTTCAATGACCAGTCGTGCTTCCCATGTTCCGTTATCTTTTCTGATTGACAAGATCTGTGATGCTCATTTTGATGCGTACTTGAAGTTTGCTCACAATATTCTGTCTAATTGCACCCATCCTTTACACATTGACCTCTGTGCATGCAAATCCCACCCGTTCCAGATACAAAGTCATCCCATCTCGAGTATCGGCCTACAGAAATTCTTTGATAACCTATCCTTCCCGGACTTACTTATACAGATCGCATCGATGTACTTTACATCATAAGTATCAAGGCATCTGTACGAGGCGTGATGCAGCTCGTTAGCTTGGAAGGGAAACCACTACATTTGGGATCAATCTCATTGTTCTACTGCTCAGTCACGCTTGATGGTGCGCACCACTGCGCTTCAACAGACGCCTAATCCTGCAATCAATAAATGTTTTGATCCGCTGGACCAAGTGGACCAGACCCCTGGTTTGTAAACCAGATTCCACCAAGCATTTTGTTTTGGATATAATTATTTTAAACAGTCTGCAGTTGGCCATCGATCGATTCTTCTGTGCAGTTGTTTCTTGCTCGGCTTTCGGTATTCGACCACCGATGCCTTCCAAGCATTGCTCGTGTCTGGTGGGAACATCGGGTGAGCAATGACGAAATTCGTCATCGTGTACTGAGTACTGATAGTCATTCTTTAACGAAAGAAATCGTTCTACACCGCCTCCGATGGCTCGGTCAGGTTTTGCTTATGCCTCCCCACCTCCATGCTCTCTTTGCATATGCTTGGCAGGGCTGGAAGAAGCGCCGCGGCGGTCAGACCATGACGCGTCGTAGAGGCATGAAGAAGTTAACCTCAGCATTGGCTTCGGTTGGTGCAGCTCGCCTTCGAGGCTGGGGCCCAAGGGATGAGAATTGCCGATGGCTAGAGACGCTGGGAGATATGGCTCAGAATAAATGTCAGTGGCGCGATTGCTTTGCGGTTTGTTTGGCGAAACTCCGATTCCCCTAACACAAAAAATCTTCAAAAAGTGTACAATAAAACTATCAAAAAAACCATTCGTTCATTCTACATCTGTGTTCTCTGTTTCCCCATTTTTATTCAGTCTTTCTGTACCCCATCACAAGTTTGTTACCATTGTTCTGCATCGGCACCATGCTTGTTCTCAAGCCGGTGTAACATATATTTTTTCACACACATCTGAGTTCAGACTGCAGGCCAAACAAATCACGGTGTTCCCGGTGAGTTCCGCATGCCGAGTTTGGTGTCGCTTCAGACTGCGTTTGGGGGGCCAAAAAAACTTTTTCCCCCGTTAAATATAGAATGTTTCCGATGACTGATCCCGAAAGTTCATTTGAATCACCTGTTTGACTTAGCTATATCACATCCAATTCCCAGCTTGGGTTGGGAATAAAAGTCTTGATACGTTACTCTCAAACATCCATTAAAGTAAGTCGGAACAATTCCCAATTTTGATCTATGACAGATTGGTTCTGTGTAATGAATGCCGTATCGTTTATTACTTTTATTATTTCTGTTATTGTTGCAGCACCGCGGGATCGAAGGAGCTCGCCAGTACAAGAATCGGGACAGTCTGGCAAATGCCGTCACGGTCCTGGACACCAACGAAACTGAACTGAACCCCGAGGGCGATCCTGCTATTTATCTCTTCTCTTGTAGGTACAACACCGATCACAACTGGCAGTCGCATCACAGTGGGAATCACCAGCTCCCAAATGCAAGAAACCGCACGTCCACTGGCCGAAGCCTAAACTCCTGTGGCCTAACCTGACCTGACCTGCCCTGTGCAAACTGAACTGACCTGAAATTAACTGTCCCGAAATGACCTTCAGAGGGCGTAGGTCATTGTGGATCTCCTCCGCGCCAAGATGAATTAGTTTGTAATAGGACAGACACCGCAACGTAGGGTTTTGAATTGACGCTGTCTAATATTTCCCTTCCTTTGTACCATTCCAGGTCCCGCACATAATCGATGGACGGGACCAGAAGAATTACGGTCGAGAGACACTATTTGAAACCCTTTTGTATCCTTGGACCCCGAACTTGAGATCCGCGTTTGAACGGACGCTCCCCCCGTTGCTCTCTCTTGTGTTCCCTGTGTCACCGCACGTGTGTGTTCGTGTATCGCT